CACATACATTAGGGTTCAAAAGTTTGGGGTTGGTCAGATTAAAAAAAAATGTTTTTGAAAGACATCTCTTAGGCTCATCAAGGCTATATTTACTTGATCAGAAATATGGCATATTTACAAGTATTGTTACAGCTAAAAATAACTTTTCCAATATACTTTAAAATGTACTTATTCATGTGACGCAAAGCTGAATTTTCAGCATCATTACTCCCGTCTTCAGTGTAAAATTATCCTTCAGAAATTATTCTAACATGACGATTTGCTGCTCGAGAAACATTTCTGATTATTATCAATGTTGAAATCAGTTGCACTGCTTAATATTTTTGTGAAACCATGCAAATTTTTTTCAGGATCCTTTAATGAATAGAAAGTTCAAAAGAACAGCGTTTATTTGAAATATTTATCTTTTCTCTTTACTGTCACTTTTGATAAATTCCTTGCGGAATATTAATTTCTTTCCAAAAATGAAAATAAATTCCTACTGACCTCAAACGTCTGAACAATAGTGTATAACGTCAGTTGGGGCCATTTTAGCTCTAAAAATAAAGTTTTATTATGCCTCTTTTTCATTATGACTTTTATTTTATTAAGATTTTGCTTTATGCTTTTATACTATTAATATAAGTCTATTCAAGTCTTTTCCTCACGCAAAGCAATCATGTGGCTTCAGAAGACCAAATGAGTCTATATAGTTTTTTTGCAAGCAAAAGCAGCTTGGATAATCTTCAAAACATCTTTTATGGTGCATGTGAGAAAGAAAACTTTTGATATGATGACAGAACTTTCATTTTTGTCCCAGCTATTCCTTTAAGGACAGCGATGTGGACAAAAACAAGATAGCACATTAAAACGCTCTGCTGATGCTCCTTCCAGATTTTGTCATGTAAATGTTTACCTCATGTTACCCTCTAAAATCCTGTTGGTGTTACAGAAACAGGAGGTTCGATTCATCTGCAAGTCATGTTCTAAATAAGACTCTTGGCCTGCGGACAATCACACTCACACATGTGCGCTTGTGTGTGCAGCGCTCTTGAATCGGGACAGTTGGTGGCACTAATTTGTCCATGTTTTTGGCGCGCCACCTCTTGCCCTCCCTAAGCTCCGGGTCTCTGCCATCTGCTATGTTTAACTGTGCTGGCCAGGGCAGAAACAGGCAAAGTGCCCACAGAGACACACTTCCAGACCTCGGCTGACTCCAGAGTCTCTTCACAGAGCCACCGGGAGCCCTTTCGTTTCTACCACAGGACTCTGATTCAAATATTTTGAATATATTAAAAACACTGTCAGAAATAATAATACAAGATTATGCCAGACTTTTCCTGTTTTTGCTGTCAAGAATGTAATTCTTTTAAACCCTCATAATGCATTCAGGTCCATTTTGACCCCGGAATATAATTAATTAATTCATTAATTTAGTACAAGATTTAAAAAAAAAAAAAAGTTTAAAAAGAGATATAACCATGTCAAAAATGTATCAGTGGTAATAGTATCAAAAGAGACTTTACAGATATTTATGCAAACCTTGTTTTGATCTATGAGTTGGATTTGTCTCAAAATATCTTTGTAAAATGTTTAGCCTCTTTCTCATATTTTTTGGAATTAATTTAAAACTACTGATGAACCATTGCTGCATGAAAAAATGTATCGCCTTTACATCAGAGAGTCAAAGTTATGCAATTAAAATAAATATATAGTGCGTTTAAACCACATTTCAGAGTAACATTTATGTTGTTTTGTTAGAAAGAATATGTAGGTTTCACAAATTTGGTTATGAAGTTATGACAGATTATACTGATGATATAATATGTAATTATACAGTAATTTTTAGATTATACTGTATAGACCAATTTAGAGCAGACGTCACAGTTACGTCACTTGCAGCTGCGCGCGCATAGTGGTTGCAGAAAAACACTGGGAACAAGTGGAGATAAATGGGCAAAATCCATGGAATAAAAGAAAAAATATATTTTTGTGCCTTTTGATGTCAAGATCGGAATGCAAATAATTTTTATAGAATACTGTCGTCAAAGACGCAATTTGAAGCTAAAAGCAGACGTTTAAATGGACATACTATGGATGAAAACTCTACCTCTTGTAATATGCGGAGAACATTTTGAAAATGACATCTAATCAATATAATTTATAATCTTTTTAAACCTAACTATTTTGTACCCTATCCATGAAATTCTCTAGCCATAAAGGCTATCTCTCCGGGGTTTTCTGCAACAATGATGCGCGCCCATCCTGAATGTTTACAAACCTATAATTGGTCTATACTCTCAGAAATTATATATGATGATACATTCAAATACAATTTCTCATGAATATTGAAAAAAAATTATTCTTGCATCACAATGATTGTTTCTGTTGTTTATGTAAAATTAGGAATTTCACAAAATTCTTAAAGGGGTCATCGGATGCCCATTTTCAACAAGTTGATATGATTCTTTAGGGTCTTATTGAAAAGTCTATAACATACTTTGGTTAAAATTTCTCAATGGTAGTGTAAAAAACACCCTTTTTACCCTGTCAAAACCAGCTCTGTTTTTAGCGCGCCGTTCTAGTCCGTGTTGCTTTAAATGCTAATGAGCTCTGCTGACCCCGCCCCTCTCTTCTGTGGGGTGACAAGCAGTACTGTTTACTTCAGCCGCGAAACTTGTTAACTAGCACACATTAGGAAAGGCGATTTGCAAAGATTCATAAAAAAAAAAACTATACTCACTTCTGTAGATGAAGCTGGATCATGAATGATTCGCGTGAACATAAACGCATTTAGGCAGATCGGGGATCGGCGCTCATTCTGACAGGAATCTCACAACAGCCTGATTTGAGAAAAGTGATTTTAAAATAGGGATTTAAAAAAAAAAAACACTGGGTGGATTTTTATCATTATAGGATGGATGTGTACACACACTTCCAACACACATTTATGTTCAAACAACAACAAAAGTGAATTTTGCATTCGATGACCCCTTTAATAAAAATAGACTAATATAGTAATAACAAGGTAATAACAGTAACAGTTAAAACTTTTACATTTTTCACATTCACTCATTAGTGAGATGCTATTGAGCAGACACAATATAGTTTTAGTTAAAAAATATTAAGTTATGACTGTTTTATACGTTTAAGTTCCACTGTGTCCAAATAAAACTGGGAATGCAAAAATTGTATGCGGATTTTGAATGCATTATGAGGGTAATAAAGCTGTTTTCTTTATGATGATATCAGAAGAGTTGTACCACTTTGATTAAGTTAAAATACTCCAATCCAAGTTTCTATCTTTAATAACACACATCTGAAATGAACATGACAGCTCCTGTGAGAACAGCAAACACATGAGGAGTGAACGTGCCGGGCATTGATTTGTTTGGGATATGAGTCTAAACTGTATGAGAGCGAGAGCGTGGGAGAACTAACACGAGAGAGAGAGAGAAATGTGGGCATGTGAGGTGAACACGTGTGTCTGAGTGAAAACGACATTAAAACACGCTTTTTTCATTTTGTGATACATTATTGCACATTTGCTTTTTTCATTATTATTATTATCCTCTTTTACTCACAATGAAATATGAGTTTGCGAAGACTTTAAGTGTATAAACTCATGTGTACACACACTTCCAACACACATTTATGTTCAAACAACAACAAAAGTGAATTTTGCATCCGATGACCCCTTTAATAAAAATAGACTAATATAGTAATAACAAGGTAATAACAGTAACAGTTAAAACTTTTACATTTTTTCACATTCACTCATTAGTGAGATGCTATTGAGCAGACACAATATAGTTTTAGTTAAAAAATATTAAGTTATGACTGTTTTATACGTTTAAGTTCCACTGTGTCCAAATAAAACTGGGAATGCAAAAATTGTATGCGGATTTTGAATGCATTATGAGGGTAATAAAGCTGTTTTCTTTATGATGATATCAGAAGAGTTGTACCACTTTGATTAAGTTAAAATACTCCAATCCAAGTTTCTATCTTTAATAACACACATCTGAAATGAACATGACAGCTCCTGTGAGAACAGCAAACACATGAGGAGTGAACGTGCCGGGCATTGATTTGTTTGGGATATGAGTCTAAACTGTATGAGAGCGAGAGCGTGGGAGAACTAACACGAGAGAGAGAGAGAAATGTGGGCATGTGAGGTGAACACGTGTGTCTGAGTGAAAACGACATTAAAACACGCTTTTTTCATTTTGTGATACATTATTGCACATTTGCTTTTTTCATTATTATTATTATCCTCTTTTACTCACAATGAAATATGAGTTTGCGAAGACTTTAAGTGTATAAACTCGCATTTGAAATGCCGATCTTTGGTTCCACATGCAAAATAGAAAAATCATAGAAAAATACTTTTTGGCTTTCATCAGAGCTGCATAAGCTTCTTAAAGCTCTGCTGTCCCAGTGACATAAAAGCAAGCGGGTGAGGAGGCAGGTTCGGCCTTACGTGACCCCTGGAAATCAATCTCTTTCTTTCTTTTTTTTTTAGACAAGACATGTTCTCCTAAAATTGCACATAAACTAAAGTTAATCCACAGTACTGCTGTGTAAAGATCTAAAACATACATCAAACAGATACCAGCTGCTCTGAAAATGTCTTTTCCAGGGAAACGTTTTTGTTGTCACTACGAGCAATGAATGTGATAACTGCTGTGCTGCACACTGAATACAGCTAATGTGGCATGTGACTGCCATAGAGCAATTTTTAATAGACCACCAATCAATCTATCCCTAAGGCTGACTGAACCACCTTTTAAAAACACATTTGTTGACAGCCAACTGGAACCTGAGGAGGAAAACATGATGTGTTCCTGTTGTAGCTGTAGAGCTTGATGCTAGCATAGAAAAAAAACGTATAGGCTAACCTAAATGTAAAAATAGATTAAAGCATCCACAAAATGCAAAATGTAACATGGTTTTTCAACACAAGGATTCACAAAAATTAAGTTCAGTCAAGAAGTAATTAAGCATATAAATTGGCTCACCTGCATCAAAGTCTGGATATGAGCGGCACAACGACATCAGACAGCGAAGGAAAAAGAGAGAGACAGTCAAATTAATTGCTTGTTTTTCAGTCATTCTCCATTTTACAACATGCTGCATGCATTTATTCATGAACAACTGCACCTGAATTCTACAACACACACATCCATCATCCTGCTTAAAGGTGGGGTAAGTGATTTTTCAAAAACGCTTAAGAAAACTGAGTCTGGACGAGTAGCAAAACAAACTTGTAGCCAATCAACAGTAAGGGGCGTGTACCGCGCCACATCAAGTGTAGACCATAGATATGTATATATAGATATATATATATATCTATGGTGTAGACAGCATCACTGATTATAATGAGTTCCATAGTATTTTGTTGCGCCGCGCCACTCGCGTCCGGTGTAGACACAGTGTAACATTGGTTTTGCTTTGTTTCACAGAACTAATCGTTTTTTTCCTGGGTTGCGTATGTATATGTGGGGCGGAGCTATCAAAATAGGGGCGAGACCCTTTTGGGGTAGGGGCGTGTTTGTTTTGGTGATTTCAAATATCAATATTGGCTACCAGAAATCGCTTACCCCACCTTTAATTGGGCACATTAGTCATGATCATTAATGGAGCCAAACTGCCATGTCCAGATCTCTATGATCAATGCAAATAGTTCCTGCGATGCCACAAAGCTATCATGAGCATCACTGTGAGGCGTATAGATTGATTTTAGAATTAGTTTCTGCCTTCACTCAAATCAGATTCATTTTAAACCTGCCGGGGCAAAATAAACTTGCTTTTGTCCAGAAATGCCTTATCAAAACTGGAATCTGAACAAAGACAAGCTGAGACAAAGATTCAGGGTCACAGGGAAAAGTCAGACAGTTTCTGGCCCGGATCTGTTGGCAGAAGCCCTGCTGGCTTGCAATGTGCTAGCAGATGGATGTTAGAGAGCGTGTGTGTGTGTGGCCAAATTCCCGGAGAGATCTGGACAGGACAGGACATATCATCCTTTATTGATATGGTGATGAAACACTTTGAACAAACGCACAACAAACAAACGACACAAACGGAGGTGAACATCTGTAGCTGAAGCACAAGCACATGAAGGAAGAGTGTTTCTTCTAGAACCGTTATCGCTAGCGGCCAAGTTCAGACACGCTGAGGTTTATGCGAACTGTCACGAACAATGAGGGCAATGGGGTTGAGTGATAGGACAATAGATATAAATCTGACAGGAAGCGTGTCGGTGCTTCAGAGGAAATAACGTCACCTGACACCTGATTCTCAGCAGAAAACTACTTCCTACCACTTTTTATTTTAGGGTTAATAATTCAGTAGTCACATCTAGATCTGTCGAACCAGATTAAATTGAGGACCTGAGGTGGGAAGACTGTATGGGACATGGGTTTCATGTATTGAGAGGAAACTGTTCTTTTGTTTCTTTGATGGCTGGAATTCATTTCACATCAAGAGGAGGAGGAGGAGAAAGAGACATAATGAAGATACAACAGAAGAGAGCTAAAAGGTAGACAAGAAAGATAAAAGGTCAAAGGGGGAAGATAAAAGAAAAGATATGGAAAATAATGAAGGAAGCGATGATGTTCTCACTCTTTGCTGTATGGTGGCATGTTTGTGCTCCATCTCTCTCTTCTCCACAGCTGAATCTATGACCAGCTGATCCAACTGAAACATATGAACGATGAACATCGTTAAACGGAAATTTTTTTTTTTTTTAAGTTGTCAAAGCAAACATTATTGGAATACGTTTTACAAGAAAATATTATTTCAATCTTTCTATTTCAAAATTTCATGTTAAATTCAATGTGTTATTTGCTGTTTTACTAGCAGTTTCTGAGTGAATTTTTTTTCAACACCACATTTTTCATTGTATATAAATTATTTTTCACCATTATTTTTTTTTTTGCAAAAGGACTCATTTTATTCTAGAGTGTATATATATATATATATATATATATATATAATTTATAGGTATTTTGTGGTATTGATAGAGATGATTGTTTTTGTTTAAACCTCCGATAACTAATGTGCAGAACGTAATTTTTGTTTTATTGTTGTTTTTTGACACCGTAAGTAGTAAATGCTTCTTTTAAAAAAGGAAATGATTATTTAAAAAAAGACTATAAATATTTATTATTATAATTATTTACATTTTATTTGTAATTATATTTATTATTTACCATTATTGTTGTTATTTTATTTTTAATAATAATAATAATAATCCAAAATACATTAATAATTTACTTTTGTAAATACCATTATTGAGTCCTGTTCTTTAGAGACTCACTATTGTGCCATTTATTGGTTGACCTGATATTAAAGAACCAATAAGTTAAAAAGTGTGAATATAGATATAAAATAATGGTCAAATGTCAATGGTCTTTCTCTATTAAAGACAACATGAAACCTCATTAGCAACACATTTAGCCTTGATAATGTGACATGGCACAACAATATTTAGTAGGACACAATTCTAATTCATTATTATATATTACATTATATTATATTATATTACATTACATAATAATGGCGTTGATTACATGAGCAAAAATGCTGAGCAAGTTACTAATAAAATATATATCTAATAAAACATTGTGAGAATAAACCTTTTTTCTTTAGAAAAACATGCAGCAATGAATCATGCACAATAATACTTTATTAATTAAGTAAATAGGGTAAATGTTATTTTGAGTTTGTCTTCAAGCCTGTCTCAGACAGATGCAATGCACCTGTCAACCTCAAGGATAAACATTATCTCTCATGTTCAGTCATTAGGCCTGTGTTAATTTGGAGCCTGGGGCTCGTCACCACATGTCCAGCATTAGACGCAGGTGTTGAGGGAGAGCAGGTGAACAGAGGGCCCTAATGAGCTGCTGATCCTGGAGAAGCAGATGTGTGTGTATCTCACCTCAGCAGCCAGCTTCTTCATGTAGGGGTCGACCTCATCTAAGATGTTGAAGCCCTGCTGGAAGAGACTGTACTGAGCCTGCATGAACGACAGCATCTGTGGAGGAGACGAAATGATCAATACAGAAAACTACACAGGAGGAGAATGCTGGTTTATCATGGCATATGAACCCACTCACCGAATCCAAAATTTCAAATTTCTTTTTGGCTTGAAGAACATTGATCTGAGAAAGATTTCAAGAGAAGAGCACAGTCATTAGTTGGTGCTTTTAACAAAAGTATCCTGGGATTCAAACCTACAACCTTTGGTTACCAACCCACTAAGTCATTTCACCCCAAAGCTGTAAGTTATGACAGAAACTAACCATTTTTGGGTAGAATCATGGTACCATGAGGCAAGAAGATCCTGGTGAAGAACTGAGCGCCTTGAGACTTTTAGGGCCCCTGGTACTGGCCCCCAATCAATTCTTGGCACTTTTAACTCATAACAACCACATTTTTTAACTTTTACCTAGACCTTAGTTTGGGAAAACTATGCATGTGTCTAATTTCAGATCACACATGACCCAGCTCCACACAGTGGACGTTAGGGACACTACAGCCGATTTTTGTCCTTAGCCATTAACATATTACATATTTAACAGCCTCATAAAACAGAAATGATCTCAGATATTAAGCTTATGACACAATATAATGGCTACTGACCATTTCTCTATAGCAAATGAAAAGCACACCATTTTGCATTTGGTTTTTTACCAAAACAGCCTTGGGTCACTTAACCAAAATAGCATAGCCATTACAGCAATCTTGTCAACTAACCGAGTTCTCTAAAAACAGAACATGCATGGTCAGTAAAATGGGGGAAAAGCATAAAAATCACAGCCCTCACAGGACACAAGGGTGGGAGAGTGCAAAGGAGGAGGTCACGTTATGCTATGAAATGAGAGCTAATGATGGCCGTGTAAAGATGGGAAGAGGAGCAGTTGGTATTTTTCGTAGTATGGAAGCCAATGGGGACCATCAACTGTTTGGTTGCCAACTTTCATCAAAATATCTTCTTTTATGTTCCAAAGAAGAAAGACACTCAACAGCTTAAAGGTGGGGTATGTATATTTTTCAAAAACGCTTTAGAAAACTGAGTCTGGACGAGTACCAAAACAAACTTGTACCCAATCAGCAGTAAGGGGCGTGTCTACTCATGATGCGGAGGAGAGAGCGCTCAGTGCACAGGACGGACATTAGCCGAGCGACGACAGAAAGATAGAGATGGCGGATGAAAAACAAAAGAGGGAAACGTCTGCGGAACAAAAGAAGGCTTAAGGCAATAAGGCAAGAAGTAGGACCCGTGTAAATATCGGATCAGCTTTCCAGCGCTGGAGAGAACTCAAGGAGCGGAAGGCCTGCGATCGGACGCCGAGGTTGCTTTGTTTCTTCTCGATAGGTGAATAACACCGTGTCTACACCGGACGCGACAGTTGTCTCGCCGCGCCGCAACAGCTAAAGTCTGTCTACACTGGACAAAGCGACCATTGAAAATCATTTGAAATTTGTGTCAATACATCATGAATAGAACGCAGCAGCAGTTTTCTGTCCCAGTTATTAGGTTTAGGGGGCAAACACTTTTTCACACAGGGCCATGTAGTTTTGGGTTTTGTTTTCCCTTAATAATAAAAACCTTCATTTAAAAACTGCATGTTGTGTTCACTTGTGTTATCTTTTACTAATATTTAAATTTGTTTGATGATCTGAAACATTAAAGTGTGACAAACATGCAAAAAAATAAGAAATCAGGAAGGGGGCCAACACTTTTTCACACCACTGTATATCTGTGTAGACAGCATCACTGATTATAATGTGTTCTATAGTATTTTGTCACGCCGCGATGCTCGCGTCCGGTTTCACAGAACTAATCATTGCCTGGGTTGCGTACGTATGTGTAGGGCGGAGCTAGGGCTGGGCGATATAGCTAAAAAATTTATCAGCGATATAATGTTTTATATCGTTCGGTATCGATAATTATTTACATTTTTTATAAACTTTTTTAAAACACGGAGCTATCAAAATAGGGGCGAGATCCTTTTGGGGTAGGGGCCTGTTTGTTTTGGTGATTTGAAATCAAGCGGCAACCTCCCGCTCTCTCTCGTGAAGCCAAAAAAGAAGTGACTTAAACTGTAATTCATCAACTGGCCGCTAGAGGCTGGCTGCAAAAGGGAGTCAATCCCATAGACTCCACATGTTAAAATGCCCAACTTTACCGCAGAAAAAAACATGTTTACAGCCTGGTTCAAAAAGTGGTTTTGGTCTATATAGCTAATTTTGCCCTTCATGACAACTGTGAGGGGGGTGAATTTTTTTATAACTCATCCGTTTAAATTATATTAAGCCTTAAAGTTCTGCATAATTAAGGGCGTGGCCACTTGAGTGACAGGTGGATTGCCGCTGCTGTCACCACCGTCGAGCTAGGTGGGCGTGGCTTCAGCAACCTGTTCCCGCCTCTTTGTCCATTTTCGATTATCCGGGAGTGACGCGCGGTGACGCGCTGCCAAGATGGCGACGGCCACTTCCACCCACTTTTGAGCTTCAAAAACGCTCTTCGGAAATCTACGGGTGACGTCACGAACACTACGTCCATGTTTTTATACAGTCTATGTTTGAAATATCAACATTGGCTACCAGAAATCACTTACCCCACCTTTAAGGGTGAGTAAAAGATGACAGAATTTTCATTTTTGGGTGAACTATCGCTTTTATTTTGAAATACCTGCAACACATAGTCCAGGGCGAGATGTCGGAAGCACTTCCGGGTCGTGATGAGAGTGCTGCTGGCCTCCTCTACCTCATGCGGTTTGTTACGAGGTGCCTGTGCGTTCTTCACCTGGGCGATCTCCATATCCTCCCGCACCTTATCGAACTGCTTCTTTGTCTCTTTAAACTTTCGAACATCCCTGTGTATTGTCACATACAGAGACATATTGCAGGGTAAGATGAGCACATCACAGAGGGCAGGGAAAAGGGGGAAAAAACAGAAACAAGGGCAGGAAAAAGAATAAAGGACTCACTCCTTCACAAAATTGTGCAACTGTTGCTTTACGGATCTCTGGGCCTGGTCAAACAGGATCTGTAAAAGATACAAAAGGAAAACAAATATATCGGCATTAAACAGAAAAATATTGAGTTGGCAGAATAGTATTTTGCATAAAACAGGGGGCATTGGAAACAGGTGAAAAAGAAAAGCATATTTTGTATAGAGATTGCCAGAGCAATCCTTTGCATTTATTGAATATAAATAATTAAATATAAAATAAAATTAAAATTAAACAATTTAAATAGTGTAAAAATTATGCTTGATTAATACCAAAATCTAAAATTGACAAAAAAAAAATCCTCTAGAGGAAGACCACTTTCTGTGTACCACTTTAGTAGCATTAGACACCCAAAGGCTTTGAAACATTAAGACAAGTCTGCATGTAGGCTAGTTGAATATTAAGGGTGCACTTCTCTCAAACCACCAGCAGATGGCAGAGCAGTTGCAGGTCTGTGTCTGTAAACCCAAAACACTGCACCAGAGCCCCACACCCATCTCAAACTCTCTCACGGTCGGTCACGTGGGCGACTGCAGGTCAAGGGTTAAATAGGTCACAGATGCATGGCACAGGATGGAAGCTGGGAAACAGTGGCATCATCCATGCCACGACAGGCAAACACAGCTCATGGAGTCAAGCCCTGGGGGTCTTGCAAGTAAGCCTGTCATGGAAGGTTTTAAGAATGAAGGCATGTCAGTGCCGGTGTCATGTCACTGTGGATCATACATGTCAGCAGAACGAGACTAGAGGAAAAGCTTTACGCTGCAATCATCTCGATTCTGGTCACAAAGGCAGCAGCGTTAAGCTGCAACGAGAGAACATGTGACAGAGCGTGTCACATGGAACAGGAGGGCAACATGTCTTGAGGGTAAAGCTGGCATGTGAGAGAGGATGAGAGAGAGGGAGTACAGGGAAAAGGGGAAGCAGACAGGCTTAGACATTTGCATTTTGCACAGCTCCATGAAGTCCCAGCCTTTGCATTTTACAAAGGACTAGACTAGAATCAGCATTTTCTATCCATCCACCTCAAACGTTCTAATTCTCTCATTAGTGATGTTTGCTAAGTCAAGTATGACTTTTACTACTGCTAAAACTTAGATTTGAACATTCCCTGAACCCCAGTGTACCTCAGTTTTCATGTTTACACTAAATTTCAGCATTGTACGAGCCAGATTTTTCTCTGTACTCTCAGCTCGCAGTAATATAGTTTGTCCATAAGGTGGCAACACTGACCCGACAGTAACAAGTCGACACCATAGACTCTAAAAAAGATGGCCGACGTGTCTCCATTTCATTCCACTGTCCACTGTCATCTTGTGCCGAGGTGGATCCGCAGAATCAAAGTCTCGTACATATTCTCGCAAACTCAATCGCAAGCACACAATCATGATGAAGACCAAACTTATTGTCAAAACAAAAACTTGAACATACATGAGCATGATAAGAGCTACCTAAAATGACAGAAACCATCTCTGGGAAAATTTTTATTTGAAGTGTAATGCCATTTTTTTTAGTTTGGCTCATTTGTTTACATGAAGAAGGCGGGGTTTTTGACCTATACTGCAGTCAGCCACCAGGGGGCGATCAAGATGTTTTGGCTTCACTTTTCAGGATGTGTTCACAGCACACGATGTTTACACATATTTGGCGTTTTTTTGGGGGGGAGCTTTAGCTACTTTTACTTAGCAAGATTTGGCTTTAGCTACTTTTCATTGAAGACATTTGGCAACACTGCACAATTGGTTGAATCTGAAATGGATGAGACGGAACAACTACTGGAGATACAACAACAATCCTATAATGCACCACAATAACGAGTGTACAACCAATGTACACTCAACGGCTAGAGAACACCCATAATGCACTGTGAGGGTCGTGCTGAAGGAATTCCAGCGTCTTGCTAGAAGACGGTGCTTGCAGCTGAATCATCCATCCATCCATTTTCCAAAGCGCTTGTTCAATGTGGGTACAGCGTAATATACATTTATTTTAATTGATTATGGAATAGTTTACTTAGGGTTTGTACAATGCTAGTTTTCATTACTACTGGAGCTGCCAGCTAAGTTTTCTAATGATTATTAAACAGCAAGCACAAACTATACAAAAGCAGCAGTCGTTCCAGCGTATTCAGTGGACATTTTAGTGACTGCAGTAACTTGAAACACCCTAGCAACCACATAGCAACACTGTAGCATTGTGTTGCCAAGTTCTACACGAGTAAGTGCCACTCACATTTTCTTCAGATTAATGTCTAATTAAAGAATTCAGAGCATAGCATCCGTGTTAAACACTGTTCAGCAGGATAATTAACCAGCATGTTCTTGTGAGCTCTTAATGACTCCACATTGCGGTTACATCTCTAGACGTCGGCATCACACCTTCTCTTTCACGTTCTCACTTTCTCTGCACTGTGAGACGTCTCTTTAATTGCATTTCACGTCATCCTCTATCCTGGTTTTACCTCAGATCTTCTCTAACATGTGAGCGTCACTGATGGCGTGAGCTCGGGTGACAGTCTAAGAAAGACATCAAGAGTCTGAGGATGAGTGACTGTAGGCGACTGTAGAGAGAGACCGGGGAAGATCTGAATGAATCGATGAAAGCGTGTGTGAGAGGAGGTTTAAAGGTGGCCTGCAGCCCGCCAAACGCCGTAGCCATAACAAGACTTGACAATTTTATTTGATCACTGAAATGTTGAAATGTTTTAAATAAATGCTGTTCTTTTTAACTTTATTCATCAAATAATCCTGTAAAAAGTATCACAGGTTCCAAAAAATATTAAGCAGCACAACTTTTTCCAACATTGATGATAAATCAGCCTATTAGAATGATTTCTGAAGGATCATGTGACACTGAAGACTGGAGTAATGATGCTGATGAAAAATCAGCTTTGCATCACAGAAATAAATAATATTTTAAAGTATGTTAAAATAGAAAACCGTTATTTTAAATGGTAATAATATCTTACAATATTACTGTTTTTTCTGTATAAATGTTCTATAAAAGGCTAAATGTTCTTGTAATGCATGTTTGCTTTTGAAAATTGTTAGTAGTAAAATTTTATATACTAGTTAATAAGATAAAAGTTTGTTTTAAAGTTAGTTTGTTTTACTATTTTCTAAAAGTCCATCACTGAAGGTAAACACAAAAAGGCTGAAGAAAAAGGCTGCCCATGGAAAAGCAAACAGTCCCATCCAGATGTTCCAAACTGGCATGAGGAACATCAGATGGTAACCTCCTTTTCTTTGGAGCAGTAATGGAAGTGACACACTTTGGAGGCAGACAGCATGTTCAGCACTTGGCTGCAAACTGTTGGAATGGTCTGCATGTGACTCTGAACTGCCTGCTCAGCTTTTGAGTTCCTGTGTAAAAAAATACAAAAAACTGTTCCATACGAGATCACTTTACAGAGTCCAGCTGCCAAACGGCTGGGCCGCTCAAGAACTGTATACTTAAATTAGTTTACTTCAAAAAATGTGTTGCAGAAAGCATGCTGAGACAGCGCAGGAAGAGAACAAGATCAATAACGCCGGTCAAAGGGTTCTCTGTTGCTTTCAAGTGGAAAGAAAGTAAACTGGGTTTCAGTTGTGGTAAAGCAAAAAATCTTGAAACGATTAAGAGTATTAGCCGATTCTTACTTCTGGAAATGTGCATGTTACATAATGCAGCAATAAGAGAGCTCTGGAGATTTTAGCAGGCAGTAAAATGCAAAGTCGATGTGCTGAAAGGCAACTAGGAACTGCAGTAAAAGTTGTACGACAGCAAGAACTTCATAAGCCGACTACAGTCTTCAACCGCACTAATGTTCATTACATATTTTATATTCAGTCATCAAATCTTGTGTGGTAGCTACTAGCAACAGTGTATCTGTCATTAGCAACTTTAACCAAAAAACTAAGGTGTTTCTCAAAACCGAGACACATTAGACTTCAAAATAAGCACTTTTAAGCATTTTAAATCATTTTCTCACAAATGCAAATATGTCTCTCATTCTATTCCCTAAACTCTCAGAAAAAAAGGTACAAAAGCTGTCACTGGTGTGGTACCTTTTCAAAAGGCACACCTTTGTACCTAAAGAGTCCATATTGGTACCTTAAAGATACATAATAAGTACCTAAAGTGTACATATTAGTACCTAAAAGGTACAAAAGTGTACCTTTTGAAAAGGTACCTACCCAGTGACAGCTTTTGTACCTTTTTTTCTGAGAGTGTATGTTGTGAATCAGTAGACACAAAGACACAAACAGAGCCTTATTCCACTAAACACTGAAATATGATATATCCTCAATTTTACTTGGCATCAGAGAAAACAAAAATCAATATTTTCAGTACATGAACCTACTGTAATGAGCAGAACTCCCAAGAGCCAGTGACATTGATGCCATTGACGACAAACTTGGTGCAATGCGTCTTGAGGCACAGAGTTTGATGTGTGCATATTCAAAGTGTCTTGCATAGATAAATCTGCCCAGAAATGAATCTTAAAGCGGTGTAGAGGTTGTCAGGCAGTCGATATAACAGCACAGCTTCTGCAGGTATGACAGCACTCCTGTTCTCACCTTTAAAATCACAAGTGAAAAACGTTCCCTCATTACTCATTCCCTCATTTCTATGGCCTCTTTTTACACTCCTCACTGCCAAACAGATAATATCAGTAATTACACTCAGTGGGGAGGTAGTGAGGTGTCACTTTGACAGGTTAGTTCAATTTAAGACTGCCTGGATTCCAACAACTCAATAAACTGTAAAAAAAAATGGACCTATTTACACCGCCTGATCAAAAGACACGCAGGCTTTCATTCAATTACTGTAATTACTATAGATTTACACCTTGTTGCCATGCTACAAGAGCACCAAATGAATCTTCAATTCTGCATTGGCACTGTGACAATAAAAGTAGAAAAATGGCAAAAACTAAATTAACATGCTATTATTATTGGTCTGCAGTAGGGCTGTCAAAAAAAAAAATCGAATTTCGAATATTCGTTGAATTTAAAATAAAAATCCACATTCGAATGCAAAAACGTTGCATTAG